GAAATGGTAAAAAGTCGTTACCTACACCAATATCTGCCCAGCCATATATCAGTAAAATACAATACTAGTTCATTTATACTTGTTGAGCTGCTAATAGCTAGAAAAATAATAATCAAAAGAATATTGGGTTGGGTATTTTTTTTTTTGCGTCAATGTTGAATTGCTGCTTTTATATTTGACAATGTGCTTTGAATACTAGTACATAACTAGTATATTTACTTACTAGTTTAACCTTTCAGCGCACAAAAAGAATTTACATCTCAATAATTAAGTTTTTCTCCCAAAATTCTTTGCAGATTTGGCACTTATGCTCATACGGGGTGTGACAAATTAAGCAATGAGACTGATTCCATAAAAACCGTATATTTCAAAATAATTGTACAACTTTGCCAATCCCTTCAAATTAGTCCCCTTGGGCAGCTACACAACGAATTCAGCATGTTTTCCATACTTCGTAACATTTCTGGAACGCTTCGACTATGATGTCCGCGAGTATCATCGTTACGGTCGCCTGGATGTCCTCAATCGACTCAAAATGGTTTCCTTTACCACCGATATTGTGCTAGAGAACAAAAAGAAAAATGTCCCAGAGTGACATATCGGGCGAAGGCGGTAGTTCCAACACGGCTATCCCTCTGGAGGCCAAATACTGGGATACGCTAAGGGCGGTGTGGTACGGCGATGTCTGGGCGTTTACTCGTTTTCGTAATCTTTCGGGTATTTGGCGATAATAGACTTGATTTACGGTTTTCCCCGGTGGAAGAAATATCTTGTGGACGATTCCTCGACTGGTCCCCCTCTCCGCGCCTCGTTATCCTTTCACACTCCACCTTAAACTCTTTATGCCATCAAAACACCTGGACACGACTACAATTTTAACGTACGCTTACGAGCAGTTTCACCCAACTTGGCGCAAGGTTTTATCTCGACGCGTTGCTCTTGATTTCTTGATCGTTTTTGCATTTTGATGACGAGCAACACGAATGCACGTTTACTCAAGACGATACAGCCGGCGAACTAAACAAGCTAGAGCGCTGGCAAATAAATATAACAATTGATAGGAGAAGGATGCCCGGAGAGGGGAAAGGGAATTTCAAGGTCGCAAGGTTACCACAATCGCGGCAATTTAATCAGTCTCATTACTTAATTGTCACACCTTGTATTTTCGATGAATAATTTACCAAGTTATGTACACATATATGCATACATACATACATACTGCAGTGATTTTTTCAATTAAATGGAAATTATATTTTTATAATATAATATATATGTATGTACATTGGACATACATATACACCCGTTTGCTTGTCAATAAATACACTACTGTTAGCCAAAGGTAAAAATGTTATCTTAATTGTTCTGACGTGTCAATATGGAAAAAATATAATTATATGCCTAGAACCGTGTGTTTGTTAAAAAAAAATTAACACCATAGTGAATAAATCAAATTAAATGTTCGCAAAAAAAATATAAAAAGTAAATATTTTTATTGAAAAAGGTAATTAAAAAAATTTGAATTGGAAAGTCAATGTTAATGACTTAATTGTGGTTTTGTGGTGATGAGCAACGTGAGCAATGGCGAGATATGGAATCTCTATATTAATAGATCCAAAGTGTTCTTTTTGTTTGTAAATAAAACAAAACTGCATTGAAAAAAAATTGACGAAGCAAATGAGGAGTGCTCTTGAATAACTAAATATTTCCACGTGATAACAGTACTTAATGAATAAGGTCTAAATCTTGTCATTAAGATTCTTCCATTTGTATAAATTCTCTAACTTGCTTTACTTTCCCAACACTTAATCCTCAGTACTTTAAAGAAGAGTTTAGTTTCAAATTCATACCTTTTTAATCTGACCTATGTTTTTTTCATTTTCCTGTGCTTTGCTTTAAGTTCTCTGTTTTCATAGAGAAAACATAGATATCTCGTCTTTGATGAGTGGATTGGATAAAACTGGCTCTGTCGCTTGACGCAAGTTTTTTCTTCAATTGTTTTCCAACTGTATTTATTTTCCAAATATAATTCCTTGGACTAATATTAATTTCAAAATACTTAAGGAATATCAGATTTTAAAACACTTGGAAATTTTTGTACGAGAAGTTTAAAGTTTCAGCGTCTTTTAGTAAGAGATAATTGTAAAAATCTTAATCCTCAGTGACATTAAGGCAACTATAAAAGTTTCTGTTGAAAAAGCTGGAATTCTAATAGTTTTTTCTTCTTTTTCTTTGGCTTGGGCGTGGAAATATCAAGTGAAACCACGCTCTTCACTTAATCCTAATAACGGACTGGAGGTCCGGCAGGTACCGATTGAATATATTCAAATTGCAATCCATTAACTCATTCGGGCGACATGACCCAACAACCGTAACCGCTGTCTCTTCATTTGCTGAACTATTTCAATGTCACCGTATAACTGGTACAACTCGTCCTTCCATTTTGTGCGGGATTCGCCGTTACCAATGAAATGCAAAGAAGCATAAATCGGTAGGAAAACTTTCTTTCGAAGACCTCGTTCATGCTTTTGCACCACATACGTAGTAGGACGTGAATGTCGTGAGTGGACTTTACTATTGAATTACTTGCTCAGCCCGAAGTAGCACCAGCTGGCGAGAGTTCTTCTGTGTTAGATTTCTTTGGCTGACATTATTAGAGGTGTAGATGCTGGTCGCTAGTTAGAGGAAATTATCTACGACCACGAAGTATTTACCGTATTATGGAGATTACCAAGTTTAGCTGCTGGCGATCTCTGAGACTTCCTACAATTATCGATAACGCTTGAATGGTGCAATGTTGTTATTCGGCTATAATCGTGTAAGCGGCGTCTACGCAAGTAAATAAGAATACGAAGAAGCTTAAATTTGTCATTACCGACGATTGGAGCAAAGTGCCTCCTGGCTATCCGTATATATAGCTCTGTATTCTTCCGCCGTTTTTTATTAGTGCACTATAGCCTTTTTCTATACCAAATACTTTCGCTTGGAAGATGTTACCTGTACTTGCTAATTAATTTTTGTGCTCCCAAAGCTTTCATTACTACCTGGTAGTTTGGAAAAAGCCATGAGCAAATACAATATACTGAGAAATCTAGGAGAAGAAATTGTTTATTTCCAACCAATGTTATAAAAATACATCCAAAACTCAAATGCAGCTATTCGAAATTTCCATATTGTTATCCCTGTTAAAATCAATAATAGTTATTCAGTAGTCCGTCTTTCGAGTTAGGTCAATATTATTAAGAAATTCGTAATTTAACAGTTTGTATTTTCCTTTGTAGGCTTAACGCAACAGGACTAAAATGAGAGACGGCAACGCATATGCATCTGTCAGGCAAGGTACGGCATAGAGGATTTCCATAGGCCTGGCCAAAAATAATTAAGAATATATTTTAGGTGAGTCCGAGCCTGTAAATTCTACTTTGACATTTTTATTCGAAAAAATCTCTAAATGGCTAAGTCTTATAAGGGGGAGTTTGTTTAAGCATATAGCATACTGTACCCGATTTCCACTGCATACTTTTAGGCATTAGCACACATATTTATATTGGTGTGTGCAATTCTCAGTGAAGCAGGAAACTCAAAGTGTCTCTTAGATCCTAAACTCCGGGTGCTTGGTTGCTATTCGACAGCTTGCAGTACTTACTGCTTACTACTTACTTAGATATTTGCCAGCACCAGAACTTCCAAGAATTTCACGGAACACCCCATCACCTCACAAATTTTCAAGAGCCAATGGCGCTCAAGCAAATTCCTCTCGTAAGAGTTATACCCATCCCGGGGCTCTAATAAATTCATAAAATAAAAGGAGGAGGGAGGAGGCAATTTTTCATTGCGGAGTTCGTTCCTGAATTCCTTCAAGATCTGTTGGGCTCGATGAATACATTTATAACACAATCCTCGCTACTACTATACATCATCTATATCTAACTGCTCACTAATTTATAACCAAATCATTTTGTTTGAGTAATTTGAATAGTCCATGCGAAATAGTAATAACAACGAAAACCGCGCGTATGTAAATCTCCCCATAAATTGACATATTTTAGCAAGACACCCGCCTGATATAGTTTTCAACACAATTTTATACCCACCCATATACTTACATATGGCAACAATTGTTTTATAATTTTAAATTTCCGCATTTTCTAAAATACTAACCTACCCGCACATGCATACATATATAGAGCTTGGCTTTTCCAAAACCTCTTACATGAATAAGGGGGTTCACTCTCATTGATTACATTTGTTGATATGTAAGACGCACATTACCCTATAAAAATGTGAACGTGCGTCATTTTGGCAAGCCTTGATATCCATGACATACATATTAACATCAGGTGTCTCTCTCTCATCTACGAAAATTGTGTGAATATATTGCATATGAATACGACTTTGGTGGCAAGTGCACAGACGTACGAAAACGTCATAAGCCGGTTAAAAATCGCTCTTTCACTTACATATGCACTACTTCCAAGAAAGTAAACGCGTTTAAGTACTCTTTTCGGAAATAAAGTTTTTATTTTGAGAAAATAACACTAAGCTTAGTGAGCTCTACCTGATTTGAGTACAATCAATGAGTGATGCTTTTTTTCACTAAATGTAAATAAACTCAACTGCTTCAAGAATACAAAATCAGAGAAAGAAGATATTCTTCCGAAAGTTACTCAAACCCGTTTTTGATTTTTTGTTTATTTGACTCTCGAACTTGAAAGCTTGAAATTAATTTTGCCGGTTTTCCCACTTGAAAATATTGCTTCTCTGTTTACGTTTACTTAGTTAAGTCGATTTGTACACAAATATATGCTTGAACATCTATATATACTCGTAGTTTAGCGACGTGATTATTATTCTCTGATTTTGTATTTGTCATCGTTTGTCATAAAAGTTTGTTGGTCGTTTGTTTATTTTTATTTTTAATATTTTTTTATTTTGCTTTGATTTTATTTTTATTATAATTTTTTCTCTTTATATATACTTTCATTGTTACCACATTTCATTAGCAGTCGCATGAGCTTAGCTCTAAGCAAAGAGACGCTTCGTTGGTCAGTTGCCGCGAAACAGTTTACGGTGAAGGTGGTCTAATCAGAGTGACACGGCTGCTAGTGGAGATTTACAAATAGAAATATATTTCATAATTTATTTTTGTTTTTATAACAAGCACTGTAGCCTCTTAGGCGTACAAAAGTATACAAAAAAAAAAAAAATATTTATCTACTTTGTTTGCAAACAAGTGGTGTTTTGTGTTCAACGAAATGAGACGATTGTTTTTGTTGGCCCTGTGTGCCGCAGTGCTGAACTTGAACGCTCTAGTGCGTGCAGAGGGACAGGGGTAAGTGTGCATTAGTAGTAAATACGTTAAATGAAGTTTATGTGAAATTAGGCTGCTGTGCTACATTTTTTAATAGAAAATATTTAAACATTTTATTGAAATCCAGATTATTTAAAAAATATTATTTGATACATATTAGAAGCTCATAGTAAAATCCTTTAAATTTTTGAGTAGGTTTTTGTAAACAAAAAATGTAAATTATTGAAAGATCCAGATTATAAGCAAATATTATTGAACATTTTAATCAAAATGGAAATGTCTATACAAAAAGGCTTTCAGAAATAAGAGAAGGTAAACGTAATTTTTCCGGGAAATCGGAAGCTTTTTCTCTAAGGTTAGCATATAGGATTTCTGAGTTGAACGAAACAGTTCCATAAAACTTCTCAAGGCGAACATAATTGACGGTTTTAACTGCTGAAACGATTTCCTCCCGAGCTTCTCCTCTAATTTGTAAAGCTCTAGTTGATGTTCTTTCCTACAAATGGGGGACCTTATACTAAGCCACCTGCAAAAAGCCGATGGGTTTTCATAAAAATCTTTTATTACATATCAGAGAGCTTGACGTTCCCCGCAGCAGGGCGACCGCAATTCTAAAAATTTATCTCTATATTTTTAGATGTTGGTCGGACCTTCTGAATGTCAACGCCAACCACTCAGCTATTGCGGCCGGTTGAGGTCCTTGTCACTCTGATATTTCCATAGCACTTTCCTGGGACAATTTATATTTTGTCTCATTTCATACCGATGAGCATTTTTTTGAGATCTGCGAACAGCAAGTAGCCGATGCGAACTGATTCCTTTAGTTGTCAGAGCAATTCAAAGTTTACTTAATTTGGTTTAAATAACATGTGACTTGATTAAGAAACAATATTTTTTTATTTTATGATATGCGACCATTTCTTCACAAATTTCGATACGAAAACGCTTCAATAATGCTATATTTGCTCGGATGCTGTTTTTCTTCTCAAATAGCGGTTGAATATTATTACATACACCACGCACATTATAATATAAACTAACCTTTCTTGTCGATTGTTGTACCTTCGTGTGATATCATCAGTTTCCATCCATCGTTTTGATACTGAAATTTATAAACTATAAGCCTGTTCAGTAGTGGATGAGGGTGAAGGTGGCCTCCACTCGGTATAAAGCATTTTCATAGTCAAATGCTCATGCAATTTAAAGCTAAAATCTTCTTTCATTATCTCTTCGATGTCAACTAACTCACACAATTTCACTTTTCTAACATTCAAATCCAGATTTTGGATTTTTCAAGGATTTCTGGTGTTACTGCCTCATTTGTAAGACCAGTACGAACTTCACAGCCACATTTGAAGTCAATAAAATATCTTTTAATTTATTTTTTAGTTGGAGCCCTATTTTTTGAACATTTGCCATCCCATTGCTTTGCTGGAACAATACTTTTCCCATCAAGAAGCAGTGTAAAATGAAAATGCGAAAAGTTCTTTGATTAATTCATTATTTTGGAGATAACAAAATTTGGGTCATTTTTTTCGGAAATTTATGTAAAGAGTAGCATAAAATTATTAGAGTGTGCATTTGTGTGCACCGGGAGGTTCCAGCTTTTGTTCAGTTTGCTTGACGTTTTTTTCACCTTACCAATAGGACAATATCAGTTGTAATTGGAATGTAATGTTTTTTGATCGCCTCTGTTGATGGTGTAATTAATGTTTTATTATTTTTTATTCCACTTCTGAATGTTGAGTTGATGCGGCTACTGGTCACATCCCAGCACACTTAGGCCAATGGCTTCTGCCTTCACCTTCTCAAATGATCGAACCATTTCGTGTGCCTTATAAAGGTAACGAGATTTCCAATGTTCACAGAGGCCAACTCAGCGAGACAATCGAAGAAGTGTTTCTCAAGAAACTTGTGTCGCGCGGATGTCAAGACTGGTCGGTCAGTAGCAGAGATAGTGCTCGATGGTCTCCTCCTCTTCTTCGTCCCTACAGCCGCGGCAGAGATCGTTAGCGTAAAAGCCCATCAAAATCCCGTCGCTATGCTTATTGAGAACCGGTCCAGAAGGATAAGATATTTAGATATTTTCGCATCCAACTTCGGCCATAACTGTCTGACCACGTTACACGTGATCTCGTTCAACCATCGGAAAATCCCCTCTGCTGCTTGTGATTAATGCACAAACGTAAGCATGAAATGGTAAAACGATTTTATGAGATTTAAAAACTGATATAATTCTCCCTACAAAATTTTGACACTGTTTTTTGCTTATTAGCAAGCACTTAAGTTTTCAATGAATTTCATAAATGCTGTTTTGTAGTTACAGTAAAATGATCATAAATAGCGTTTTTTTTTCCTTCCAAAGCAAACACACAACCGAACTGTTTTGGATAAGCCCAATGCTACGAATAGATTATTATTGATGTTGCGTTTCATGCTAACTCTCCAACTTGTTGTTGCTGTGTTGCTGTGTGAAAAAAGTTAGAGGTTATCGTTATTACATATTGACTATATTGAGTTTTGTTTGATGTGCGTGAGATTTGTTTACTGTGTCTCAAAGCTTACACATGAATTCACTTAATTTCAAGGTTTGCTGCTGATACATATGTATGTATGTTTACTTGCAAAAATATTTAGAAATTATGAAACATCTTTACATATATAAATACATCTTTTTCTTTTCAAATTCAAGTTTTATTTATAGCAACCTTTTAATTTTCATTGCTACTTAATTTTCAATTTTATCAATTAGCAATTCATAGAAAAAATTATTTGCTAATTTAATTGTGCGCTAAGTGAGGCCTACGCGCGAAATGTCACCGCATTTGCAGGATTTTGATTATGTCTAATTAATTTTAATTATTTTATTTGTTTCTTTCATTACCAGTAGCTTCGATTTTAATGAGCGTCATGTGTTTGTAAAATTTTTTAATTACTTTTATTTCCAAGACATATTTGTTAAAAAATCCGGTTATATACATATGTATATATAAACAAACAAAAAAAATTAACAAAAATAAAAATAAATAAAAATAGAAAAATAAAAAATAAAACATCAAACATGCTTCACCATTGAAAACTTGCCTGCTAATGAATATTAATTATTTAACGGTAAATTCTTTTTAAACAATTTTTCTGTAAAGCAAAAAATTTCTAACGAAATGACACGTGTTTCATAAACTCTTTGAAGATTTCTCAATTAGCTTTAATTATTATCATTTTGGTTTGTGTTTTTTATATCATAAATTAATAACAATATAGTAACTGTAAGTAATTAATATCCAAGGTTTTATTACATAAATAACTGAATGGTGAGAATGAAATTATTCATATCGTTAATGAGTCGCGTGTCTAAAATAATTTGGATACTTTCCACCACTACCAGGGCTTTCTAAACGATTTTCAAATTTTGTTTTATAAATTTGTGTGTGTAATTTTGATATTTGGGCTTAAGCATGGAGAGTTTTGCAAAACTTGAGCAGCTGCTGATTACCTAAGGGCCTATGAACCTAAGCTTATCGCTTTTATTAATTAAAATTGTTATATTTTATTATGTTCACGTATTAAGGTGACTGAAAAATGATGATTTCGAACTTTAAGTTCAATTTATTTAATAAGCAATGAACAAAAATACATTTTAAAAATATAAATAATGAACCTATTTTATAATATTTATTTTCGCTTATAATACATATTCATTATTTTTCTATATCTTTTTTTTCTTTTTCTTTGGACACAGTCATTACTCGGTGATTGCTCCCGGTACTTTGCATTCGAATAACAAATATACGGTTGCCGTAGCAGTACATCAAAATAAGGAGCCCGTTACATTAAAAGTTGGTTTAGTTGGTCCTTATTTTGAGAAATCTGAAACAGTTCAATTGCAAACGGACGAGACGAAATTAGTGGATTTTGATGTACCTGTACTGGCAAAGGGCAAATACAATCTCACTGCCGAGGGTGTGGCCGGTTTGATATTCAAAAACACGACGGAACTCAATTACGATAGTTTTGCTGCAATCACTAAAATACAAACTGACAAGGGTAAATATAAACCTGGCGATAAAGTGAATTTCCGTGTATTATTTTTGGATGAGAATTTGAAGCCAGGTGTGGCGGAGAAAGATGCTGTGATATGGTTTGAGGTGAGATATCTAAATACATATGTACATATGTACTACATCTCACACTAAATACTATGTTGAAATATATCGTGGTATTAGCTTATAGACATCATTTTATAATTTCTTTAATTTTAATTCATTGATTAATTCATTTTACACCATTTAAACTCCAAAGGATGGTAAACGCAATATCATCAAGGAATATAAGAATTTCGATCTGAAGAAAGGCGTATTTACTGGTGAATTCCAAATATCCGAATTTGCGGTACTTGGTGGTTGGCGCTTGATTGTGAAAAATGGCGGTTCGTACAATCAGGAGGTCTACTTTGATGTCGAGAAATATGTGCTACCAAAATATGAAGTTAAAGTAGAGTCCACTGAAGCGGTTTCTGTACGTGATGGCGACGTTGATATTGTAGCGCGTGCTAAGTAAGTTCGCTACCACAAAATTCTTATCCCAAATACCTCTTTACTATATTTGTCTTGCAGTTATACTTACGGCAAGCCCGTTGAAGGTAAAGTAACAGCCGTACTGGGTTATGGGGATCTGTATTCTTACTCTGCAGATGAAAAGATCAAAACGGCACCAACGCTTATTAAAAGCGCTGACATGGTGAATGGAAAGGCAAAATTGTCACTCAACGTCAAAGAGTTCAAGGATCACTTAGTGAGCGACTCGTATGCCTCATCGATACAAATCACAACAACAGTGGAGGAAGCATACACTGGCGTAAAATTAAATGAAACCAAATATATCAGTGTTTTTCCCTATCGCTATGTTATGAACTGCGTAACTTATGATACTTGTTACACATACCACGCGGATAAAGAAGCAGAAGTTCTGTTACAAGTGAATTTCGTTGATGGCACAGTGATAACGGATACTAAGAATCCGGTTAAACTCACATTCAAGGAGAAGTTATCCGAACGACACTACTGGCATGGATCACGTAAGAATGAAGAGAAGGCAACAACGCCGAAGCCAACGATCGAAGGAAAAATCTATACCTTTGAGAGTCATCTAAATGGCACAGGATTTGCGAAATTTGCAGTGAAATTACCTAATTTAGATGAAATCCCGGACTATCAACATTACTACGAAGTTACGGCTGAATATATTGATGAGCAACGTAAAGTTTCCAACACTTACCAATACCGCGAACCGAAAAATATGAAGCCACAAGAAGAAACAGAACCAAAGGAGTGGTTCAGACTAGCGGTTAATTATCCGTCTAATAAGTATTCGTAAGTAATAAATTTTTAAATATTTAAAGTGATGCAAAATTAGTTTTGATAATAACTTAATTAAAATTCAGTGGCACCATAATTTACCCCATTTCACTGTTATTCTATTAAAAGCCTTCACTTTTATTTTATTTTCAAAATTCCACCGTTGAATTTTTCATTAAAAGTATTAAATTTTTGCTTTCGTCATTTTTTAAATTCACAACTAGAATTTTGCTATTTCAGGATAAACTCCTCCGAAATCGTTACAATAACCGTAAACTCTAGTCAGCCCCTGCCATATTTAATTTACGACATTGTTGGCCGTGGTAACATTATAGAACAACAAAGAGTTGATTTGCCTGAAAACACCAAAGTCTTTAACATCACTCTGCCTTACAAACACCTATACGCTCCATTCGCAAGGTTGTACGTTTATTATGTGGATTCACAAGGCGAGTTCCACTCGACGGAGTCATCATTCCAAGCTGAAATGGAACTGCAAAATAAGGTACGCATTTTGTGGTTTATATATATAATTGGCGCTTTGTAACCGCTGAATCGATTCTCGGTTCGAATGCTCGTTTCCAACAGATTGACATAACTTCCCCGGATGAGGTGAAACCCGGTGAGACTGTGCCTTTGCATATTAAGACGGCGCCACATTCATTTGTGGGACTTTTAGCTGTCGATCAGAGTGTGTTACTACTCGCAGGTAATAACGATATATCTGAAGATGAATTTAGATGGCGCGTGGGTAGTTATGATACAAGCACGCCATGGCAAGGTGGCTATTCGCATTATCCTGGTGAATATACAGGTGTAGTTACGTTGACATCCGCTGATTACTTTTACAATTGGACCAAACCAGTTTATGGTGAGTGAACAGAGAGATATTAATCCACTTGTTTTAAGAAACTAATTTTTTCTTATAAAAACTTAGCACCTGCAGTACCCTTCAGTGCTCGCGGTGAAGTATTTCATAGCTTCAACAAGGTAAGCGACGAAGCCATAACTACTATGGCACCACAAGGTGCCTTCGGTATTGCTGGTGGAGCAGGTGCTTCGGCATCACCACCTTCCCAACAGCCAACAATACGTAAGGATTTTAGAGAAACCTGGCTTTTTACAGACATCGAAGAGTAAGTTTCATGCACAAATTTAAAAATAAAATATTTTAATTTTTCACTTATTTTTCCAATACTTAGCACACAAGCAGAAGAATTTGATTTCCCAGAAAAAATACCAGAAACTATTACCTCTTGGGTGCTAACGGCATTTTCTGTGAATCCAGAGAAAGGACTTGCTGTGATGAAAGATCCTACGAAGATCAAAACATTCCAGCCCTTCTTCCTGTCGCCACGGCTGCCCTACTCCGTGAAGCGAGGTACGCACTCAGTGGACAATCAAAAGCATTCATTAAAACCTGTGCATATGTATATTTCTTGTTGTTTCAGGTGAAGTCGTCAACACGCAACTTTTAATCTTCAACTACCTGGATAAGGCTTTAGATGTCGCTGTCACACTGGACAATGTGGACAATGAATATGACTTCACCGATGTCTCTAATGAGATTATTAATGAGCCGAGCCGTGTTAAAAATGTCCGCGTACCCGCTCAATCTTCAGCTGGTGTTTCATTTATGATTCGTCCCAAAGTTATTGGCAACATTCTGCTGAAATATACCGCCGTCTCACCAATTGCTGGTGATGCCATACACAAAGCACTGAAAGTGGTGCCCGAAGGTGTGACGGAGTACGTAAATCGTGCATACTTTGTAAATCTTAAGGAAACACCGGACTTCAAGCAGACCTTCGAATTGGATTTGCCCCAAGATGTCGTGCCAGACTCAGAGCACGTAGAAGTCTCAGCTATTGGCGATATTTTAGGGCCGCTCTTAAATAATATGGACCATTTAGTACGTCTGCCAACGGGCTGCGCTGAACAAACTACTTCATCCTTTGTACCCAACTATGTGGTTTTGGAATACCTAAATGTAAGCGCAAAATATTAATCTATTACATTATTATCATCACTTTTTCTTTACTTTTCACTTGACGCAGAAAACCAATAAACTAACACCATCATTGCAATCACAAATTCAAAACAATCTTTTATCTGGCTACCAACACATTCTGAACTTCCGCTTGGATGATGGCTCGTTTAGTTCCTTCGCCAGATATAAGGACTTGGATCACCCGCTCAATGGCTCTACGTGGTTAACCGCCTATATTGTGCGCTCTCTTAATCAAGCTAAGCCACATATTAATGTCGACGAGAAAGTGCTGACTACAGGATTGAAGTATCTGATCAGTCAACAAGCAGAGAATGGTAGTTTTCTTGAAAGCAACGATTTCTTCTTTGGTTCTTATAGAAAACCATTGACTCTTACTGCTAGCGTTTTACTTACCTTAGTAGAGGCAGAGGTAACTAAATTATATTTAGAAACATATTGACTCCACAAAATAACGTGCTTTCTTTCTCCTCTATAGGAACTCAGTAAACCATACGAAGCAGAAATTGAAAAAGGTTTACAATATATTTTGAATAATTTGGGTAAAGAGGAAGATCTTCATGTTAAGGCCATCACAGCGTATGCTCTAAACAAAATCTCTAGTCCCGCAGCAGCTACACAACTGGCAGAGCTGCAAACCCTCGCTAAGACCGAAGATGATCGCAAATGGTGGACGAATAAAAAGGAAAACCCTTCCAAATTATGGTGGCGCTGGGCTTTCAGCAACGATGTAGAGATCACCTCTTATGTCTTGCTTACACTTTTTGAAAGCGACAAGGCAACCATCGACGATGTATTGCCTGTTATACGTTGGTTGGTGGCACAGCGCAATAGTTATGGTGGCTTTGCATCAACACAAGACACCGTGCTGGGACTTAAAGCACTAATTAAATTTGCCGATTTCGCTGGATACGAAGCAGCTAATATGAAGTTGGACGTAATTGGTAAAGGTGGTGATAGAGAAAAGAGCGAGACCATTCAAATGACACAAGATAACGGTTTACAGACACAAAGTGTAGAGGTAAGAAGAGTGCAATTTTAAAGAATGTATGTATGTGTGTCTGAAATCTATATATTTGTTTAAATTAAACTCGCAGTTACCACAAAAAACAAAATCGGTTGATTTGAGCGCCACAGGTACCGGCGCTGCTCTAGTACAAGTCGCTTACCAGTACAACGTCTTCGAGAAGGAGAAACAGCCCACTTTTAAAATCGACACTGCTATAAACAAAGAAGCGCCTGCTTTTAAGCTTGATATGGAGGTTTGTGTACAGTACATTGGCGAAGGAGAGGCATCAAATATGGCGCTACTGGAGATCTCATTGCCTTCCGGTTATGTAGCCGATGAAGAGAGCTTTAATCAAATTGAAGCAGTTAAACGTGTCAGGGTATGTTTTACATTTTTGTAGATTTGGAAACAGCTTATGCTTATTAATATTATTCTTTTTTTATTACTACCAACAGCAAGTGGAAAGTAAACAGTCGGGCACAACGATCGTGGTCTACTTTGAGAGTCTTGCGAAGAATGATGTGTCTTGCGTGCCGGTTGAGGCGCTTAAACAACACGCTGTTGCTAATCAGAAACCAAGTCCGATCGTTGTGTACGATTATTATGATACAGCGCAAAAAGTAACCGAGTACTACACGGCATCTTCGAAGTTGTGTGATATTTGCGAGGACGATGAAGAGTGCAAGAAAATGTGTGCTACGCAAGTGTAACATAATTGTTTGTAAATTAATAAAAATTTAATACTTTTGTATATACTCATTTCCATAAAATTGGTTAAAACAAATGAAGATTTAAGAATAAAATAAAAAAAAAAGTTCTAAAACATTTTCGGACAGTTTCAATGGTACCATCCTCCTTGCTGACGCTTTGCAACCCCTGAAAGGATTTTCGGCCACACTCCTCCTCCTATTTGTGGTGTGCATCTAGATGTCTTTTTTAATAAAATTAAGTTCTCAAATGTTGGTCCCACCAGGACTCGAACCTGACCACTCTCGAAATAATTTGAATTATTATAAACTCTTAGTCTTAAGTAAAGTTAAATAGAAGAGTATGAAATTTAAGCCCGTGACAAAAAATCATACCCTCAACTTACCGACAGTAATCAATTAAATCAAACACTTATTCTAGAAAAAAGTTCTTATCGCAGAGAGATGGTGAGAGTTTGAGAGGGAAAGTCCAGTTGTAAGCGAAGAGCAACAAATAGAGAATCAGAAATGAAACAAGCTCCGCTCTTCCGATTAAATGCAGAATTATCAAACTGGAATTTTATTGAACCGGCTTGTTTAGAGAACAACTCAAAGTAAATTTACTCGAACGCAAAATAAGTCAACTCAAACAAAGAAATGTGTTTTCTCTATTGTTCTGTGAATGTTGTCCGTGGTCGTCTGCTTTTGATTAGAGATTTTGCCATTGATTTCAGTCGACGCGGAGCAGTGGTTTAGTGCGAATGGAGTGACGCTTCAACCAGAAGTCGTGACTATTGATAAGCAATCTTTTTTGCTTCTTAGCTGGACGTTGCATGTCAAGTGCACCGGTTTTTGTGTATTTTGTGAGCATTTATATTGCCTTCATTTAGCGGTCATGCAGCAACGTTGGACGCTTCTATTTTTAGGCATATATCAAATCGTCCTGACGGCAAATGCTAAGGGGTGAGTAGATTTTTTATTTAAAGTTTCAAGTTTCACCAAGAAAATGCTACAACCTAAATTTATAGTTGTAAATTGCATTGTTGTCTTACCCACACAAGGAATGCAAAGCCCTTCTTGTGTGTTGCCGATAATAAAATCGATGACAATACTATAAAAAAATGATCCTAATAAAAATCCATCGGAAACCTCTAAAAGTACGCCTCTCCATTCAAATTGAAGATAAGCTCCACCGAAAATTTAGTAAAAGTATTTCACATTAGCTGAGTGGAGTTGGTGCGGCTGCTGGTGAGTACCAGTGCACTTCGGCCAATAGGACCATTGTGATACCGCTGTACTTTTGCCTTATAAAGGCAACGAGATATCCAATTTTCGCTGAAGCTATCTCAGCGAGGCACTCGAAGAAATTGTATCCAAAGAACTTGTGTGGGGCAGATGTCAAGGCTGGACAGGACAGAGATAGTGCTCGATGGCCTCCTCCCATTCTTCGTCCCTACAGATGCAAAAAAAAAGTTTAGAGTGGAGGGTTTAATATTTTTTTGATATGTACAGGAAGAAGTTTCACTTATAGGCAGTAGACAGAGAATATTTAAGAAAATATTGGCTTCGGTATTCAAGCAGAACTTTACCAGCTGTACAATTTGAATATCTGTATGTATAAAAATCTCCCGGCTAAGCTCCTCGCATTCCACCAAAAACTCAACACGTTTTTAGCAATTCCAAGAGGAGATCTAAAAGCTATAAAAAATATTGAGATATCAGATATTTTGCATTTGCGGCCAAGAAGCCACATTAAGTTAATTCAATAATTGGCATCTGTAAAACTCGTTCCACGCATTTGCAGTAACGCTTGCATATGCAGCAAACAAGCCACTCGCCTAAGCGCATCTTATCTTATCATTGACCTGCCGGCATTCAGTTTATTTCTTTTAGTTACGAAAATAAAGCGCCTTAGTCTCACTCAGCCAACTGAAAAGACTCACTCATTTTACCCACATTACACTCTTACAGGCACTACACCATAGTCGCACCCGGTACCATACATACCAATAGCAAATACAATGTTGCCGTCGCTCTACATCAAGCCACTGAACCGGCAACGCTGCGTATCAGCATAGTGGGACCACAATATAATGATACGAAAACGATTTTGGTGTCACCATATGAAGTAGAGAATGTAGCCTTCTCTGTACCCGTTCTACGTGATGGCGAATACAATATAAGCGCAGAGGGACTGAGTGGTGTGATCTTCAAGAATACGACCAAACTCAACCACAATGTTTTCCAGACACATGTCAAAATACAAACTGATAAAGGAAAGTATAAACCCGGTGATGTGGTCAGCTTTCGTGTACTTTTTATGGATGAAAATTTGCGTCCAAGTGGTCCGTCTTCAAGTAGTGTTATATGGTTTGAGGTAAAAACTGTTAAAAACTTATTAATTATTCAAACTCGTTTAATTGAATTTCTCTTTTTTTAGGATGGCAAACGCAATCGAATTAAGGAGTACAAAAATTTTACGGTAACAAAAGGTGTTTACACTGGGAAATTTCAAATATCTGAGTATCCAGTGTTCGGGACATGGCGGTTGGCTCTGGATAATGGTGGTTGGCGTAAAACTATTGTTAGTTTCGATGTCGAAAAATATGTTTTGCCAAAATATCAAGTGAACGTTGAGGCCACTTCGAAAGTGTCGGTTAAAGATGGTGACATGCAAGTGATTGTCAGAGCCAAGTGAGTGTGAACTACTTAACTATTTCCTGAAGTCCTCCATGAACCCTCATTGCAGATAGATTTTTTTTTAAGTTTGTGAAAATTCCCAACTCTGTAGTAAGTAGTTCTAATGAGCAGGAAACAGGTTTAGTAAGTGAAGTCCTCTCTCGGCGAACAAAAATTATGCTCCTCACCACCTCCTGATGTATGCTGCATGGTAGAATGAAGACAACGTGCGATGAGATGGAATTATTCGATAACAAAATTCAGCAGCTAATGTGGCTAGGTCTTGGATGCAAATATTTAGTATTCGATGTAGAGCGCGCGGATGGAAGCATGAAGAGGTATTCCAGTACTCTTTATAAACAGGCACAGGATATGTTAGGGTCAAGTCTGGAAAAGAAGAAGTTTAACCTGATACAATATCCAGACTTAAGTTGCGTCAGTATTACGCAGGTCTTTCGTCTACTTTGGATGGTGATTTAACTCCGAGTGTGCCATTCACAGGAAGGGAGTCTTTGAAGGCGTTAACTACTGGGGAATGGCGTTCAGTGTCTGTCCTATCCTGCGGTAGAATCCAAACAGGAAATGCTTGCACAACAAAAAACGATGCTCCTTAACTCGTAGCATAGATGCTTCACTGTGCAAGTGATGCTCAGGTGACATCAGAAGGTTTCCTGTCGCTTCTTAAACTGCGTCTCGTTTGTCCCCAGTACCCAGATCGGTGCAGCATAGTTTACGACCGGGCGACCGATTGCTTCGTAGGTTGTCAGCAAGGTTTCTTTGTCTTTATACCAGGTGCTGCCGGCTAGCGCTTTGAGCATTTTTTTGCGGTTATGGAGTTTTGCCGCAATCGCGGTTGCATTCGGAGTGCAGGCTGTCAAATGTGATTCCCAGTAACTTGGCGTTATTTATAGTCGAAATTTTGACGCGATCGTCCTTCACATCAAGTTCGAGCCTGTACTCCTTCGTCCAGCTAGTGAAAATGGTAGCTGAGGATTTGGTTGGTTGTATTTGAAGTTGTCGTGCAGTGCATAAATGAGATAGGTCGTCGAGATAGCCATTCGAATTCGAGCAAAGATCAGTATTTTTATTACTCATTTCCACACCTGCACAACCTCTTTTTTTAGCTATACCTACGGCAAGCCAGTTAACGGTCGCGTAACTTTGATTCTTGGACTGAAATCCTTTTACTACTACAACAAATATAAGGATAATACCACCCAAGCTGAACAAATAATAAAAACAACAGATATGATTAATGGTAAAGCAAAATTCGATATCTCCGTGAAGCAATACAAGGATCGCTTTCTCAACTTCCGAAGTGCTCCGCTCGATATAACAGCGACGGTGGAAGAGAGTTTCACAGGTGTAAAGGTTAATGGCACCGCACATGCAACGCTCCATAGAGACCGTTATCTCATTTTCTGTCTGACGCATAAAGATTGTAATTGGTTTACTGCCGGCAAGGAAATGGAACTGGCATTTCATGTACTAAGCTTTGATGGCGCAATGCTAAAAGATCTGAATACCCCGGTGCAACTGCGATACACCGAAGCACTTACGAAGCATCACTCTAAAGATGACAACAAAACAGAGCCCAAAATAGCACAGCAAGTGCTGGAGTATGATAGTGTGTTGGATGAGAACAGCACGGCAACCTTTAAGGTAAACTTGCCTGCATTGGAAGAGTACGACGGCTATACGCATTTCTATAAAATACAAGCACTATACAAAGATGAGTTGCACGATGTGTTGAACGCATATCAGAAGCCCCCACCAGAAACCACACACGATGTAAAGCCAGCTGAGCCTGAAAAACCAAAAACATACTTCAAAGCGCAAGTGGAGTATCCTAAAGGCCGTTTCACGTGAGTCGTGCTAATATATAAGATGTGTCTGCTGAAAAGGTTTTATACTTTCTGTTTTTCCATAGCTTTAACCTTAATGAGAAGATTATTCTGATTATAAATTCGAGTACGCCATTGAGTTATTTCGACTACAACATAGTGGGACGTGGCAATATTTTGGTTACCGAACGCGTTTTCGTACCAAATCAGTCCAACACTTACGATTTGACCTTAACACCGAGCTTCATGTGGATGCCTTTCGCCCGTTTCTATGCGTATTATATCGATGAGCGTGGCGACTTTCAATATGCCGAGACCAGTTTCCAAATTAACACAGAAATGCAAAATGAGGTATGTGTTGGAGCCATAAATATCGCTCATAAAACTCTTTCTCTGAAATATTTTCATGCAATCAGTTTACTTGTCTTCTATGTCTCGCTCACAGTTGGAAATTACTGCACCCGCTGAGGTGAAACCTGGTGAGGACGTCACGCTACGCATCAAAACAACGCCACACTCCTTTGTCGGTCTACTGGCTGTGGACCAGAGTGTACTCCTATTGGGTCGCAACAACGATATCTCGAAGAATGACTTCACCTGGCGTTTGAGTTCATATACAACTTACACGCCTTGGCAAGGTGGTTTCTCCCGCTATCCAGGTGGTCAAAGCGGTGTGGTAATACTGACTAGTGGCAATTATTTCTACAACTATACAGCGCCACACACAGACACCGGTACTTACAACCATTAGCACTTAACTCAAGCAAAATTATTTATGTTACTTACTTATCACACAGTTGACAACCGTTTCGACGATCTTCAAGCTCTGCGTGGCCCTGAACTTCCTAAACCACTATCCGCTAAGCCAGCCTCTGCGGCCGCTGCTGCTTCTGGCCCAGCAACACAAAGCCAAGTTGCGGTTCGTAGAGACTTTGCAGAGACTTGGATTTTCGATAACTTTGAGGAGTAAGTTTTTGTGCAATTGCTTAGTTTCAGTAGATATTAAATAATTTCCAATGATCCAAGCACACAAACGGAAGTGTTCAATTGGACAAAGAGAATCCCCGACACGATCACTTCGTGGCTGATCTCGGGATTCGCATTACACGCGGAGAAAGGACTTGGGGTTACAACACAAACAACTGACATTGTTACATTTCAGCCTTTCTTTATATCAGTAAGATTGCCGTACTCAGTGAAAAGAGGTGGGTAAAATGTTGGAGCCCACTCCCTGCTCTCTCTTTAAACCAATGACTTTCTCTTCTAGGTGAGGTCATCAATGTACCAGCTTTGGTTTTCAATTATCTTGACAAAGCGTTGGATGTCGAAATCACACTGGATAATACGGATGGCGAGTATGAGTTCACCGAAGTCTCAAACGAGATTATAAGCGATACGAAACGCGTAAAAATCGTGCATATACCGCCACAATCTTCAGCAGGGGTAGCATTTATGTTACGACCTAAAACTATCGGTAACGTTATGTTGAAATATGCAGCAATCTCACCACTTGCCGGCGATGTAATACACAAAACGCTGAAAGTTGTACCGGAGGGCGTGACAGAGTATGCAAATCGTGCTTTTTTTGTGAATTTGCGAGAAACGTCTGAGTTCAAGCAGAGTTTCGATTTGGTATTGCCGGCAGGTGTTGTGCCGAACTCAGAGCATATTGAAGTATCGGCAATCGGTAATATATTGGGACCACTTCTTAACAATCTCGAGCATTTATTGCGTATGCCAACTGGTTGTGCGGAACAAACGATGTCGAAGCTGATGCCAAATTATTTTGTATTAAAGTATTTGAAGGTTTGATCACGACATTGAGGACTAGAGTTTAGAATGTTCTAAAATTCGCTTTATTCCTCAGAAAATCAACAAATTGACGCCGTCTTTGGAATCGAAAATATTGCAAAACTTGGATACAGGTTATCAACATATACTCGGCTTTCGTTTGAATGATGGCTCGTTTGTCACATTTCGCGATGTGAATCAACGTGAAAACGGTTCGGTCTGGCTCACCGCATATGTGGCGCGTTCGTTGCACAAACTGCAGGAATTCATAAAAGTAGACAATGTGATACTCGACAAGAGTTTACAGTATCTTGCTAGGCGTCAAGCAGAAAACGGCAGCTTTGTGGACACCGACAATGCATTTTTCGGTAGAGAACGGCAACAGGGTGTACCGTTGACGGCGCTTGTCTTATTGGCATTTTCAGAAAATCAGGTAAGACTTATAACAATAGAATAAATATAATCTCTAACTTCCAAACCAACAGGCGCTGCACGAGAAATTCCAAACCAACATAGACAAAGCTACCAAGTATATATTAGAGTACAGTGCGAAGTCCGACTGTGTACTTGCTAAAGCTCTAAGCGCCTACACACTTCAATTATCTGGGCATCCATCAGCTGCTAAGCAATTCGAAATACTAAAATTAGCTGCGAAGTCATCAGAAGACCGCATGTGGTGGTCTACTGGGGATCAGCATTCAAGTTATTGGTGGCGCTGGATACCTAATGGTGATGTGGAGATCACTTCCTATGCACTCCTAACACTACTCGCTGATAAGCTCGTTGAAGTCGATGAACTTTTGCCAATTGTGAAATGGTTGGTGGCGCAACGCAACAGTTATGGTGGTTTCATTTCCACTCAGGATACTGTGTTGGGACTGCAAGCTCTGATTGAGTTCGCAGAGAAAGCGAAATATGAACCAGGCACAATGGATGTCGAAGTGTTGGCTAAAGGGGGCCTAACGCGATCGGAGACTTTGAACATTAACGAAGAAAATGGACTGATCTTACAAAGTGTCGAGGTGAGTGGAACAAAACCGAGAGTTAAAAACACTACTTTGACTGTATACCGATACAAACTTCTTCCTTCTGTACATACATAGCTTCCACAAAAAACTTTATCAGTGGACTTCACGGCAAGAGGCAAAGGTGCGGCCATAATACAAATCGCCTATCAATACAATGTTCTTGAGGATGACCCACAACCGAGTTTTGCAATACAAACTATCATTAAAAAGGATACGCCTATACTCAAAATGGAAATGGATGTATGCGTAGAATATGCCGGCGAAGGCGATGCATCAAATATGGCCATTTTGGAGATTACACTACCCTCCGGTTATGTGGCAGATGTCGATTCATTTAAACAAATTGTAGCCGTACCAAGTGTTAGGGTAAGAACTGTCTTTTTTTTCATTAAAAGAGCCGCTTAAAAGTAAAGTTTTTCTGCAGCAAGTTGAGTCGCAAAAATCCGATACTGTCTTCGTCATCTACTTCGAAAGTCTACCAAAACAAGAAATTCAGTGCTTGCCCATAGAAGCCTTCCGTCAATTTGCTGTCGCCCGACAAAAACCCGCTTCCATTGTAATCTACGATTACTATGATACGCTTAAACGAGCTACGATGTACTATGAAGTTGCCTCGAAACTGTGCGATATTTGCGAAGACGACAAGGAATGCAAAAAGGCATGTCAGTGAAGAGATTTACATTACAAACGAATCAATAAGGAATATATCCGTTTTATACATAAGTTTCACTATAATATACAATAATATGCAAGAAGAAGAGAAGTTTTTCGATTACTATAAGACTTTGATGGTATTGCCAAAGTCTCAGACGCTCAGAGCGCAAAAAGCCAGCAAAAGAAGCAGTAGGGATAATTCCAAAACGGATGTAAAGCCGTCAAAGACAGGAAAGCGTCTACGGAAACCCGAGGATTATAAAACAAATAAAAAAATAAAGCCCATTGCTCTGTTCGAATCCTTTAATTCTAACGATCCTAATTCTAAGGATCCTCTCACTATAAATGTAGACATCACTCTTTTTCTTCTTTACTGGCGTAGACACCGCCTACGCGATTATAGCCAAGTTATCAACATTGCACCATTCATTTCTTCTTAAGGCAGTTTTGCATTAAGTACAGCCACGTTCTTTTCTACCTGCTCTTCCTCTGTTTCCAAAGCTGGAGTATTATTATCCACCTGACCACATATCCTAGCCATCGCAACCGCTGTTTCTTGATTAGCCAAACTATGTCAATATCGCCGTATATCTAGTACAGCTCATCGTTCTATCGTCTGCGGTATTCGCTGCACCCAACTCGTATAGGGCCATGGATCTTAGGCAACATCTTTCTCTCGAAAACACCTAACGCCGACTCATCAGATATTGTCATCACTCATGCCTCCATATAGTAGGACAGGAACGATGAGCGACTTGCAAAGTTTGGCCTTCGTTCTTCGAGAAACGACTTCACTTTTGAATTTCTTACTTAGTCCAAATTAGCACCTGTGCTGGATGTCCATGTTGGCATTGTTGTTGGTGTTAATACTGGTTGCAAGATAGACCGAAATTATCTACGACTGCAAAGTTATGACTGTCAACAGTGAGATGGGAAACGATGACTGTTTGTTTGATGACAGAGATATTTCGTCTTGCCCTCCATCATTACCACTCCCATTTCCTTCGCTATCTTTTGCTGTCTGGAGAAAGCAGAATTTACGGTTGTTGAGACCAATAAGCTCGATATCATCTGCATACGCCAGAAGCTGTACACTCTAATAGAATATTTTACCATCTCTATTCCGCTTTGCAGCTCAAATAATTTTCTACAGCAAAAAAATGGAAGTAGTAACGCAACAAGGAATCACCCGATCTGAAACCTTGCTTGTTATCGAGGGCACGGAGATCATGACGGAGCTTTGTGTTGCTTAACGTGAGTTTGCATTTTCAATAGATTGCTGACCTGTATAAAAGGGCGATGAAGTTCTGTATGCAATAATTTTGTAAACGATAATCTTAATGTCAGTAGCAAAACAGGTTTCCTTGAAGTACGCTTTCTCTGATCATTATTATATCAAATCAAAAGTAAAGATTAAGAAATCTTCGATATATATCGAGCTTAAAGCAATTGGAAAAAATAATTTCCGGCCTTTGTGCGATCATTAAACACATTTTAAGTCTCTGAAAAGTTCACTTCCAGATCAAAAACCGCTTCAATAGTAAAAAAAAATTACGATTCGTACTTTTGAAATAGTTTGCCCTCTACGCACTGGACAACCTTTCAAAAGCTGCCTAAAGCAGAACCCTTGAGTAACATACGCTTTAATATCACTAAGCTTCTATGAGGTAACGTCTATATTTAACTTGCTCTCAGCTAAAGGGAACTTGGTATGGTTGTAGGTGTATTGACGGGATAGGTACCCGGGGTAAGCTTGAATCGACTGCGCACGGAACAGAGGCAGAAAGGGATGATACGCTGGAGCACTACCTTTGCTATTATCCGACGTTTCAAACAGTAGCCTTACGGGTACAGGCAAGGATGGCTGGAAAATAATTAAATAATTTTAAAAATCAAGCGAACTGTTCGCTAACCGAGAGTTGGAATATACTTTTGAGCACAATGAATAGTTTGAGTGTGATCGCTTGGCAAGGTCGTTATTCTTTCCCTTCGACAATACAGTCTTTAATACGATTATAGTTGCAAGGCTCCGATGAAGAATTAGATTATCCTTTCATCAAGTTTTCTTTTCTTTGCTAATTGCTCATTTTTTTGGGCACACTTTTTATTTGGTACCTCTAGCGGCTCTTTAGTAATCCTCTTGGCGTCCGCGGTAGCCGAGTGGTTAGCATTGCGTACTGCTATTCGGAAAACCAGGGCTCACATCGTGGTTTGACAACCATCCAAAAGTTATAGAAAATTTATATTTATTATTTATTTCAATTAAAAATTAAGCTAAATTTTCTAATTGCGCTCGCCCCTCGGCAGGGAAGTTCAGCTCCTCTGAGTGTATTTCTAACATGAAATATAGGCTTCTCAAAAAAAAACCAACAGCCTTTCGGAGGCGGCTTTGTATAAACTGCAGGTTCCTCCATTTGTTGGAAAAACATCAAGATGCAAAAACCACAAATTGGAGGAGGAGCTCGGCTGAATCGCTTCAGCGGTTTTAAAGCGCCAATTTTATATATGTATATTGATGTCTTTACAAATTTATTTTAAAACGAAGTTTAAATTTTATTCTGAACATTAGTTAAGCCTTTGGGACACATTTGCCTCGTTTTAATGAGGTAACTGCATTTTTAAATTCTACTTTATTTGATTAAAAATCCCGTTTTCTATTGTCGTTATTACTTTTTAACTCAAAATCTACATTTACGCCTCGGCTTTTAATTAAAAATTCATGTAAATCATAAATGTCATTGAGTGCGCGTCAACACCTCGCTGCACCGCTTTGCATGTGTGTGTACATATAAACAATGTACGTATGTATATGTATGTATGTATATATTGAGTAATGTGTGAGTGCAGAAAGCCATTTAACTCTTACAAATTGTGTAAATTTAATATTCAAGTCACATTTTAAAAATACATATGTACATACATATATATTTACGCAAACACTTGCAATCATTTTTCATTCGCTTCCATGCATACGTTTGTTCATAAAAGTACAAGTGCATGCGAGTACATGGGTATGTGTTTTCTAAAGCAATTTATTATGTTTTGAATATTTAAACAATTTTCAATTTCAAACCCAAAAACTCATTACTCGTTTTCGACTGACAACAATAAGTGCTTTACCACACCCACCGTGCCGTGCCGAGATTATCATTATGAAAAAATAAAAACAAAAAATCGGACACCCGTGGAGCCGACGCATGAATATGCATGCATACACATACATATACACATATGTATATTGTTACGAGTACAAGTGTTTGGGAGGCCAACAGCGATAATTGCATGGATTTTAAATTGGTTCAGTCGCGTGTTGCATGCGACACATATTTTTGCCTCAGAAGGTGCAAAAGCGCTTTAACGAGGGTTGACTGATGAAAGGTTAAAATAAAGTGTGATTAATTATAAAATAAGAGCATATGCGTGCATATGTACATACTCTAAAGCTCCAAGGGTATAACCGTAATAAAACACAAAAATTTTAAATGCTCCCCCTGTATATTTAAAAAATGAAAAATTACCACGGAAAATTGAGAGTGATAAGTCAGAAATACACCTTATTGTACATACACATAACCACTTTATAAATTTTTAATCCCAGATATATGTATATACATTTATGTGTATGTGTAGAACCATACTTTTCCATTAAAGAGGCCAGATGGGTATCCTCGTCAATGGTTCACCAGGAATCGACCATAGGGAATAAAGCCTTTAAAACTACATGCGGCTGAAACTTTGTTACCATATCGTGTTAAAACTAATTATCTTCCAAACGTCTAGAGCATCGCTATCAGCAGAAATTATTATTTTTCTTAATAAAAATTCAGCGGCCGCAAAAACCGAGTGGTTAGCATTGCGTAGATAGTCACCACATCTGAAATCTCATTTGTACCGAACGACTCGGAGAGCTATGTCCCAATTCAGACTACGCTTCTGGTAGTAACCAGCGATAATTTTCACAGCCATAAACGTTCCGCGGGGATATCTAATTCAAGCATAACGGATGCAACTACATTTCGTGCTGTGAAAGGCACCCTCAGTGGATAAAAATGTGGTGTATATTAATTCTCTTTTCATGGGTCCTTGCCAAGTTTTGGCGCATGGTAATTGTCTTGTGATTTTCGGCCGAGCTCCTCCGCCCATTTGTGGTTTTGCATCTTGATGTTGGTTGTTTTTTTGATGAGCTTTATCATGTGAAAAATACACACGGAGGGCTTGACACTCCCTGCTGTGGGGCGAACGCCATCAAAAAACTTAGCAGTTCTAAAGCTATATTGATAAGGTTCCATCAGTTTGTTGAAGGTGGGAGTGGGATTCAGTCTTATTAAGAGTACGTTCCGCAATATCGTATAGCGGATAATGAGGAGACTAATACCACTGTAATTGGATACCACTGTTGGGAGACTGTTTTTGTGGATTGGGCAGATCACACTAAAGTTCCTACCTTCCGACCATATTCTTAAAAGAAGCATATGTAAGGAACTTTGTCAGTATTTCGCCGCTTTATGCGAATAGCTCTGCCTGTAAGCCACCAACTGCGACCGTTTTGTTGTTCAATGATCTGGACATAACCTCACCAGATAACCCTATTTCATAGAATTTTTCTTTGTCGTCAGCTTCTTAAGTTCGAAACATTAAGACCGCCTTAATTTTTCTGCATATTCGTACCGCTTACCATTTCAACTCTAGGCATATCTCTCACACCGACTGTGCTGTGGTCGATTGTGGGGTTGCTCTTTTCGAAAGTCAATTGATTCTTTAGCGACTGTACGTAGGAAGCTTGAGATATCGTTCCACTTTTCACTTTTATCGAGTTGGTGTTGGTTGTACAGCTTTTCGAGCCAAAACTTTCCCTGTTCTTTGATGACGGTCGAGATCCGAGTGAATATTAGGTCATTAAGAACACGGAGTCATGTCTTCCGCCTATTATAACTAGATCGGTTTGCTTGAGTTTTAATTTGCCGGAATCAGTTACTATAGAATACTATATTTCAGTCCGTTGAAGTCGTTCAGTCACTGCATTTACATAAATATTTCGTCATGGATTCTGAATTTTCTGACAGATACTATCTTTGCTCACTCTTACGCTTAAATCGCCAAGCAC